TCCGTAATGATAAGAAACTAAAGATGTCCCCATAGAAAAGAAATTGGTGAAAAGCACGTCTGCTTCTGAAATGAGTCATCGTCTATTAACTCTTTGATGTTACAGTAAAAGTTAATATCTTTATGTGGGATTTGGAGCAACAAAGGTTATTATCCCAACTTTGTTGTTGACACATGAATGGTAAAATTTTGCAGCATAAGGTCTCCGACTTTCTTTTTTTTCCCCATTAAATCAAGTTTATAATTTTTGCTGCTAGATTCTTTCAAGTTATAAAGATGTTTAATTTGATCGAGTATATCCAAAAAAAAATTTGTTTCATAGAAGTTCTGCATTTGGGAATTGGATAAAGGGATGATTCTGCTAATCGTTATTGAGCTTATTGATTGCATATAAATCGAATTTAGGAATAGAGTTTTAGTCGCAACTTGTATATTGATTGGAAAATGGTGATCTATAGGAAGTATGCACATTTCAGTAATTGCTGATTCTTCTGTTCAATCTTCGGTGGGGGCCTCGGTAGCCTAGTAGTCAAGGTATCGGATCATGACCGGAATGTCAAAAGTTCGAACTCAGTATCACTAAAGACCCGCCGTGTAGAGGAGGGATGCACGTTAAATCGAGTACTCAAACGTCCTCCAGTTGATGAGGTGTCGTAGTTAGGAGAGGGGAGCCAGCTCAGGTGTCGCCCTCGACGTTTGACCACGGTTCAAAATTACGAGGTTCGTCGCCAAAAGCCATCGTGCAGCTGCACTGTAACGCTAATATTCACTCACTCACTCAATCTTGGGTGCCTGCATTTATTTAATTATAAAACAAGTAATATAAAAAAATAAGTTAATTCCTACTTAGATCAACAAAGAAAAATTTTATTTTATAGATATTTTTTATTAAATAGTTACAATTAATATAAATGTGTATATACATATGACAAAACCATAATATTGACAATATAGAAAGCAATTTTCCTTGAAATTTTCCATTTTCTTTTCTATATATGGTGTTGGACTATTTTTGTTACTATTTATTCATTCAATAAATTTAATTATTCTAATAAAATAGTATAGTAAAAGAAGAAATCACATTCTCTCGGAAATTAGGATATCCCATGTGGGCTTGGAACCCACCACTTCTGGATTAGAAGTCTAACGCGTTAGCCATTGCGCTAAAGGGACACAACGAGTGATTTTTCTTTTTCTTTAGGGTTTTGGACTATTATTTTCGTTTGCTTCTATTTATTCATTTTTTAATTAAATAAATGAATTAATTTTTGAAAAAACTGTATTAACATCAAGTGTCGTCCACTATAAATTTAAAAAAATATATTTGAATGGATGAATGGAAAGTATTTCATTAGCGATTGAAAATTTGAATGACATGTATATACATATATAGGGAGAGATTAAACTAATAGTAGGAATTGAAGGAATAAGGCACATTGTTATACCATCGATTTTAGCAAGGAAGTATACGAGCATTGCAAATATAACTTTGTGCAAATTTGATCTTTTTTTTTTATAATTCGTACTTCCCAAGAAATGTACTTTGTATTATTTTTTTTTTCTTTTGAATTTAATTTCTGGGACTCATTGATGTGGCCTTTTCTAGGATAGGTTGAGTTATTCCCTTTTACAATGGATTAAATTCACAGACTTCTGGCGCCAAGTGGGTAATCACTTGATACTTTTGGCAACAACTGCACGTGTTTCTTTATTATCGTGGAATAACCTATATGCCAGTTGTTGACATCCTTTTGGCTTCATTTTATCTAATTAAAAACATATGATATCATTGTATTTTTTGTATTATTCTAGTATATATATTTGTTAGGAAATAATCTTCACAACTATTTTATATATTTTTTGTTTTATTTTAATTTATTTATCTAATTAGGTAATTGTCCTGCTTTATTTATCTAATTAGGTTGGATCCTAGCATTTATTTGTAGTTCTTGGTACACTTAGACATATGGTTCTTAGTTATTTTAGTTCTTAATTATTTTATTAGTTCTTTATTATACATTTTTGCGCAAGAATGGCTTACAGAATATAATCAACACTACTTCTTTTAAATTGTATGACTCGAATAACACACAATGGTATCATTCCCTTAAAAAGAACGCATCCCTATTATTATCCAATACAGTGTCAGTTAGGCATGAATAATATAAAAGATGTCTGTTTGTATATTTAATAAATCAAAGTCAAGAGAAAATATTAATTCTGAAGTAATACAATTTGTTAATAATTTGTGGGAGGAATTTTTTACAAAAATTAAAGAAATGTTTCTTTGATTTTTACCTTCTACAAATTTTCGATTTCTAAATTATTAATAATTCATCTTTTCTGTTAAAAATTAATGTCATTTCTTTCTCTCTTTAAATTAAAATAAAATATTCTTAAAGGGAATAAAACCATTACAAAAGGGGTAACAATTTTTAGAAATGATTAACTTTAATTTAAGGATAAATTATCTTATTGTTTTTAAGTACATGTTAAACTTGTAAAAAAGTTTATTTCTTGAAACCTGTGTATATAGAATAATAGTTAATATGAAAGTTTTAAATAAATGTAGAAAATTATCTTTTTTTTTTTAATTTTTTTTTTTATTATTTTTTTAACTCTTTGTGGCTATTTAAGAAGTATTTGTTGATCCACATGCTTTCAGTCTTTTCCTTTTTTATACAAATCCTTAAAATAGTTTAATTCTTGAAAACTCAGTATTATACATGTAAGGATAATTATGGATATGAGTATATGTCATTCATGTATATATATCCTGTGATGAAAATGAATTTTTTTTTCCAACTTCAGAAATTGCAAATTTTATATTAGTATGAACACACTAAGTGAAACATTATAAGTGTCAGACATTTGAAATAATCCTGTAATTTTGGTTTGATTTATCAATACTATAGAAAGTTCTTGATTTTTTCCTTAGTACTTATGTGCTACTAGCTGGTAAACCTGTTCTTCACACAGGTGTGAATTTATATATATGAATAATGTTATGCATGAATTTTTTCTTCCCCCCCCCAGTACTTAAGTATTTAGAGATAGAAAATGGCAATTTTCTATAAAATATATTACATTTACTCAAGTTTGCCTATCTAAAAATTCCAATGAATATTTTATTTCACTGAAGAATAGTTATTTGATGAAAATGAATTTTTTATGTTTACACAACGTATAGCATATAAATACTTACATACATATTGTACAGTATTATGAAGCATTTAAAGATATTTGAAAATGTTTCTAATAAAATAATATTTCGCATCTTTGACTGTCTGATTTACATAGTAATTATCCTTTAAAAATGTTTGGATTTTTTTTTTAGAAATGATTGTCTAAAGTAATAAAAGAAAATACTATTTCACTATTAAGTGACAGTTAAGAAATGAATCATATTAATATACAGTTCTTAAGAAATATTCAATGTAATGCGATTATCCATTATTACGAGTTATTGAATTACATATAAAGTGCACAATCAGGGCTAATAATTAACCCTTTTGTGGGCAGTGGTTATTAGGTCAAGCCACATATTAAAAAAATTTTCTCCAAGTGGAAGGTCAATATTTAGTTTATCCACATGCGTTAATTGAAGCTAAAACGCATAAAGATCAATACAGAGGGCATCACCATACCTTTTTTTTTTTTGCATTTCATGTCGTCTGATGGGTAGTTAAAAACAGTTCTTCTCGGTGTAAATCTACAAATTGTATTTTGATTACTATAAATAAAATTTCTGATCTTTGAAAAGAATTTCGACATGTGTATTAAGTATACTCTTCTCTCATCTGAATGAATTAAGCAAATGTTCAATTCAAAAAACAAAGGTTTTATTTAGGTTTTTGGAAAGCTTTTATATGTTGATAGAGGCTCTATCCACTGCCCTCATAAAACAGAAAAATGACCTTGAAATGTTCGCTCTTCCTCCACTTGAAAGAGTCAAAACAGAAGGTACAGGATCTGTACAGGAGATGCTCTCTTTGCAATACCAGAAAAGACGTGCATCGCTCTCAATAGCTGTGTCGCTCTTGCAATGTACCACTGTGTCTTCAAGCAAATGGCTCTAATTGCTTTGAAAAGTTCCACAGTAAATAGCTCATCATATTTGTGAAATAACTTATTTAAATCCTCAAAAATATTATTTTATTTCTCTAACTTCAAAACTAAAATTAAATAAAATATAAAATGTGGATATATACCGCTTTCAATGTATATTTTAGTAAGTATTCTAATAAGTACAATATTATTCTGTTATTATTTATTCACACTTATACTTCGTATTTAGTTGTTATTGAAATAGTTATTAGCATGAATGTTAGTTCTTAAAACTTTTATTGTAATATGATTCATTTTTTCTGTCCTTTAAAGTAAAATAAATGTCTGAAGTGCGCAGTGGCTATAATGTCTAGCCACCACCCACGGAAAAAACCCTTGATCAGATATTTTTTTGTGACTAAATAATGTTTATAGAGGATGATAACATTACATATAATTAAGTACTTTATCACATCCCAGAAAAGTGTATTAAGCTTTGTGCCCGCTACTCTAAAGGGTTAACTAAATAATTATGAGTTATTTCTACAGGTATTAACTGTTTTTGTATTTTCAGCATATTAAAATTAATAAAGCAGTGCTTCTCAAACTTTCAATATACGCGACCCACTATTCAATCATCATTTTCATCGCGCCCCCCTCTATACAATAACAATTCATCATATCTTTTACCTAAAATAGTGCAACGAATAAAGACTTTTAAAATGTTGCACATTTTACGTGTAATTTTACAAATGGTAAAGAATAGTTTTGATTTCTAATGCTTGAAAGTGGTACTTGATTTATAATCTAGTATAAACACTAATAGAACTGTAGTAAATTAAGATATTTTTCCCATTTCTGTAGTGTGTGAATGCTTCTATTTTTTCCCCCTGTAATATTGTAAAATTATTAAGTAAATAATAAGAGTTCAAAAATATATATACTTGTTTTCGATATGATATGTAAGGTTACATATCAGATACTTGCATTCTAATTTTAGATAACTAAGGGGGCCGAAGTACCTCTGTTAACTACTCTGAAGATGTGTAAAATAAGTAAAGTTTAAGTTAACTAAACATATATGTTCTCAATATAACTTACTATAAAATAAACAAAAACTTGCTTTGAAGTATTTACATTCTTGTATAAGCCAAAATTCTTTTTGAAGAGGTTTCATTTGTCTTACGGTATTGAAAATATTATTCAAAGAGTGGTCAAACACATGATAAACAGTGAAAAGATGGGTATGCAATCATGCTTCATCATGCTTTCAAAACAGATTTTTTACCGAGATATTAAAAAATGATTTTTTACCCCTACAATTTTCCTTTCTTTTACTGTTTGAGCAACCATTTCATCAAAATAAGACAATTCAGAAAGTAAGATGTAAATGTTTAAGAACAAAATAATAGTAAGCAATAGCGGTAAGCAAATAAAGTCATATTCACGTGCACTAGGAATCGCGTGATCGTGACATCACATGAATTTAGTCCATTCGAACAAAATGAGCCTGAATTGGAGTTCCTACTGATAAGGCATATCGTTGGCCTAATTAACAGAATGCGTAACTCCATCTGTGGTGTTAATTTGATATCGGAGTGCTACGTGGCAAGCTGTCGTTTATGTTCGCCAACATGGGCGATAACATTATAATATGGTTACCTTGACATTTGTATCGTGTGGTCATGTGTATCGTCATTTGTATCGTTTGGCGCGATTAAGGAATCGTAGGGAACAACGCTTGGCACGTATAGCGCTCGTATATCAAATTAGTTTCCCTTGTGGAGTTGCGCATTCTGATAACTAGGCCGACGATATGACAGAATATCGGGCATACGAATTTCTTTACCCCGATGATCCTACCAATTATGCCTAAATCTTAAGTATTTCATACACTATAGATTTGGGAATACATAAACTCATTGGAGTAGGCTACCCCGTATTTATTTAATAAACAATATTAAGACATCAGATGGCAAAGTATGTTTGTAATGCATCCGCCAATTCTGGAGACAGAAAATTGTCAACCAGAATACTGCAAAGTAGAATTAATCAAAAAAAAAAAAAAGTTTTCCAAGAGTACCATCTTAGATTTTGTATCACAGGCCCATACTTTTCATAATTTT